ACACACACACACACACACACACACACACACACACACACACACACACATACATTTTATGAGAGTAGTGCTCCAGCATGGAGTGATCAGTTTGTCGATGATGGTAACATGTAGTGTGACTCTGTTTCCTGTCTGGACTGGGTTCCTCACAGTCCTCTGGATTCTTGTGTGCATGTAAATGGACTGGTGTATCTCATTTCAAGCTTCACACTGTTCTGAGAAATCTAAAAAAGAGAATCCTTTAGATATCCCCTCAGTGCTGCGTCCGGTTCACTTGTCTGGCTCATTTTCTAGTACCCTACCTGTCACAGAAGTCGTCAGCCACCTGCTACTCACAAATACATGTTGTTAGCACCAGATTAGGGACATTGTTTTAAGGGTATAATATGCAGGAATGTGCTAAAAACCAAAGATGCTGATACAACAATAATCCTTCCTCATCATCACTTCTGACCCACTACAAGTGCCCTGAAGTCAGTAAACCATCAAACATTCTAAATGTTCTCATTTTACTTTGTTATAGTTATGTATCGGGTTTTTTTCCTTCATATGAACACAATTCTAATGATTAGGCAAAAAAAGATTTTTATAGATTAAAATAAATCTTGTCATAGTTTTAATGATGTATTATAACCTGTTTAGAGGTAGTGTAAACATTTCATAATTCATCTCTAATATCTATTTATGTTGTCCCCTGTAATAACATCATCTGCCAGCATGTGATCACTTGTACAGCGTGGTTGAAGACTTTGGGTTGGGTCAGAACTGTTGATATGGACACATATATATGATATTGCCACGGGCCTTATTCCTGTACACTTGATTTGTCTTAACTGCTTTATTTGTCATGCAGCTGTGAGTCGGGCGCAGGAGCAGAGCAGCAACCATGGTGGCCCTGTCCCTAAAGATCGGTGTGGGGAACGTGGTGAAGACCATGCAGTTTGAGCCCTCCACCATGGTGTACGACGCCTGCCGTATCATCAGGGAGAGAGTTCCTGAGGCACAGCTCGGACAACGTGAGTTCTGGCTCCTCACACTCACCCCACAGATAAAAACTACACCAGTCAGTTAGTTAGTACCACTAAGGAGATTTAAAAACAACTAAGAACATTGATTGAAACATTAAACAGTCATTAAAAAGCTAAAAAGAATAAAAGTTGCAGTGCAGTTTAAGAAATAAAATACAGTAGTTAAATGCAGGAAATTGATTAATATCCTTGAATATGGTTCAATTAAAGGCAGCAGCAAACAGAAAAGTCTTCAATCTTGATTTAAAGGAGCTGAGGGTCTCAGCAGACCTGCAGCTTTCTGGGACTTTGTTCCAGATATGTGGAGCAGAACAACTGAACGCTGCTTCTCCATGTTTAGTTCTGACTTTGGGAACAGAAAGTAGACCGGTCCCAGACGACCTAAGGGGTCGGGATGGTTCATAAGGTAGCAGCAGATCAGAGATGTATTTTGGCCCTAAACCAATCAATGCTTTATAAACCAACAGCAGGATTTTAAAGTCAAGTCTTTGTTGGATAGGAAGCCAGTGCAAAGACCTCAGAACTGGAGTGATGTCATCCACTTTCTTGGTCTTAGTGAGGACTCGAGCTGCAGCATTCTGAATGAGCTGCAGCTTTCTGATTGACTTTGTACAGAGGCCTGTAAACACACTGTTACAGTAGTCCAGTCTGCTGAAGATAAATGCATGGACAAGTTTTTCCAAGTCCTGTTGAGACATAAGTCCTCTAATCCTTGATATATTCTTCAGGTGATAGGAGGCTGATTTTGTAATTGTCTTGATATGGCTGTTCAGGTTGAGTTCTGAATCCATAACTACACCTAGATTTCTGGCTTGTTTGTGGTTTTTAACATCAGTGATTGAAGCTGAGCGCTGACTTTCAATCGTTCGTCCTTGGTACCAAAAACAATGACTTCTGTTTTATCTTTGTTTAATTGAAGAACATTCTGGCACATCCAGTTGTTGATTTGTTCAATGTCTTTACCCAGCCCTTGTATGGGATTATAGTCCCCTGGTGACATAGTTATGTAGATTTGTGTGTTGTCTGCATAATTATGATAACACACTTTGTTGTTTTCCATAATCTGAGCTAGTGGAAGCATGTAGATGTTGAACAGAAGAGGCCCCAGTATTGAACCTTGGGGAACACCACATGTCATTTT